TACAGGTGCACATGACCTGGTTCTGGTAACCAGAGGCTCCAGGACTCTCCTATAGCCATGTTCCCTTTTACACAAAGGCATTTCTTCTCTTACATGGGCACTCTGAAGGAAAGACTCCATTTCCCAACCCCCTTTGCAGCTTTGTGTGGCCATAGAACTGTGAGAAATTCTAGTCCTTGCTTCATAATAAGAGTACTGGAGCCGGGCGGTGGTGGCGCACGTCTTTAATCCCAGCACTCGGGAGGCAGAGCCAGGTAGATCTCTGTGAGTTCGAGGCCAGCCTGGGCTACAGAGTGAGTTCCAGGAAAGGCGCAAAGCTACACAGAAAAACCCTGTCTCGAGAAAAAAAAAAAAAAAAAAAAGAACACTGGAGTCTCAGAGAAGTAGAAGGGAAGCAGTTTCTTTTCCGACCTTGCAAAGTCAGATGTCAGCCTGGAGTCGGAGGCTCACTGACTGAGGCAGAGGCAATCTTTACGCATCCTAAGGCATGCCCCTTCCTCTCTCTTTGGGATCGTCAGGAGGGTATGATCCTACACACTCTCTAGGTCTTATGTCTCCCTTCGCCACATTTGTCCTTTTCCCTATAAACTCCATGTGTGGGTTCATCTCTACGAGTCACCTCCTGCTTACTTTAAAGCTTATCCTATGAGTGACCTTGCAGACATGCTTGCTGTGAGCTACTTTACACTCTAAACCTCTGGTTCGAGGGTCCGCGCTTCAGAGAGTTATCTAGACCAGCAGGCAGGAGTTATGAGTCCAGTGTTTTCTGTTCATTTGTGGTTGGACCTAAGCTAGCTGGAGGCACCTTTAAGAATGGACCATCAGATGTGATTTCCAATAGAACCAAGTTCTGGCCCCTAAGATGTGAGCAGTAGAACTTAGAACTGCTTTAGGGCGTCTCTTTAAAGGAGGGGACGGCACTCTGCTCTCAGCTCAAGGTACTGGCTGAACTGGATTGTAATGGAGAATGGGATGATGGAGCGATGGCAGCCAGGCATGATGCACTGGTCCCAACGCACAGCACTGGTTTACCTGTCTAGACTCTTCCCTTGGCCGTTCCGATAAGAGGTAAATTATCATGTTGAGGCCACTATTAGGTCCTGGCTGGTGTATCTGGACCACTGGCTCCCAAGGGAAGGCTTTTAGCTTTGTTTGTTTTGTTGTTGTTTGTTTGTTTGTTTGTTTTTATGAATGTGAGTATTTCCCTGAATGTACACCATGTGCATGCCTGTGCCAAGAGGCCTGAAGAGGGCATCATCAGATCTCTTGGCACTGGAGTTACAGGTGGTTGTGAGCCTCCTGTGTGGGTTCTGGGAAATGAAGCTGGGTCCATCAAGTGCTCTTAGTGGCTGAACTACCTACCTCTCCAGCCCCTAAAGGAAGTCTTTTGAAAAGTCACCGCAAGGTTTTCTTCCAGAATTAAAGACACAAGAAGGAGAAGCCTGGAGGCATCTGGCTGGTGGGCTTCACACCTGTTACTCTGCAGCCATCTTGCCGGATACGTTGCTTGATAAAACTCTCGTGACATGATCCTCAGAAAGAAGAACATGGCGGGAAACCATTTTTTCACAGGTCTGGAGGCAGTCCAAGATGAAGGTATTCTGGGCTGGTTTCTCCCGAGGCCCCTTTCCTGGGCTTGCAGATCGGCCTTTCACTGTATCCTCAGGTGGACTTGTCTCTGTACAAATGTCCCCGGTGTCTTTCTGTATGTGTCAAATCCTTTGTAACAGTGGGATTTCAATTTAATTGTTTATTCTAATTAAAAAGATAATCTAGCCTGGACATGGCAGCACACACCCTTGTCTACAGAGCAAATTCTAGGAGAGTGTCTTAGGGCTTCTATTGCTGTGAGGAGACACCATGACCACAGTAATTAAATGGAAAAACATTTAATTACAGTGCCTTACAGTTTCGGAGGTTTAGTCCATTATCATCATGGTGGGACATGGCAGTGTGCAGGCAGACATAGTGCTGGAGAAGGAGCTGAGAGTCCTACATCTTGACCCACAGGCAACAGGAAGTGATCTGTCTTATTGAGTGTAGCTTGAGCATATGAGACCTCAAAGTCCAACCCCACAGTGACACACTTTCTCCAACAAGGTCACACCTACTTCAACAAGGCCACTTCCTAATAATGCCACTCCCTATAATCCTTTGGGGGGCCCAGTTCCTTTCAAACTACCACAGACAGCCCAGAACTACACAGAGGAACCCTGTCTTGGGGGGGGGGCTGAGGCTGGAGCTCAGTTGGTAGTGTGCTTGCCTAGCATGTGCAAGGCCCTGGGTTCCCTCCCCAGCACCAAGTGTAATCTCTGCGCTAGGGAAAGAGAAGCAGGAGAATCAGAACTGCAAGGTCATCTTTGTTCGCGTAGTGAATTGCGGCCTGGATATATGAAACTCTATTTTAAAAATAAACTGAAGGTATACATCCAAATCCTGTCACATCTTGCAGTCCCAGGGTTTGAGGCTTCAATATGTAAATCTAGTGGCACATACAACTTATCTCAGGAAACAAAGTTGAAAAATACAAAGACGCCGAGGCCGTTGTTGAGCTGCTCAGCTAACCAGCCCTGCAAACACTCGCGATCAGACTTCTGCCGAGCCACCTGTGGTCGGGATCGGCTGTTTCGTGCAGCCAGAAGCGGCCCAACCCAGAACCACGTGTTTGCTCAAGCTGCTTCCTCCGCCTGAGTAAGCTAGCCTGCACTCATCCTTCAAGGCTGAGCAGGTATGCTTTCTCACACCAGCTGCTTGCCACAGAGCAGAGTTCTTCTAGGTCAGGGGCAGCTGTCACATTTCCCCTCTCTGCCTGTGACTCCCATGGAGGTTAACCTTTTCCTCCTCTGGGCGCGGAGGTGATTTTTATAATCCTCTCCACGGCGGCGATCCAGGCGGCTGATTTAACTGGGGCTGAAGCCTGACTGCCATGCTGATGATGCTGACAGCAGAGACTTCACTGGCTCCACTTATCCCATTTTTGATTCACCGGCTGATTTTAGTAATGTGCATTGCCATTATGTTTCTGTTCCATTTTGTCCCTGGAACAGCTTTCTGAGGAGAGCACCGTTATTATCCTGCTTTTAACACAAGAGGACTCTGAGGTTCTGAGACATGATGTAAAATTGCTCAAGGTCATTCGTGACTGAACCTAGGTCATCTGTCTCCGACTGATTTACTGACACTAAGCACTTAATCTATTCATGGCTGTGGAGTGGGGGCAGCAGGCAACACAGAGGTCATTTTGTCTTTCTAGTCGTCTCTAAAACACTTCTTGTCCTAGTTGAAATTCCAAGCAGTGACATTTGGTCCTATTAGTGATTCTTGAAATAATATAAGGTCCAATTCTATAGTTGAGGAGGCTGAAGCCCAGAGAAGGGGAGGGGCTTGCAAAAGCCAGTACCAAAGCACTGAAACACCAGGGACAACCTGTCTTAGCCTACTGTCACGGCAAGGGTGGGAATTCCAGACTGGCTCAGGGGTCAAGTAGCAATTCTGATGCTTAGAGCAGAGTCCAGGATGGGCTTGCATAGCCTGGCCTCTTTTCACTGGCCCAACAGGCTGAGGGAAGATCTCGTGTCTTGGTGTTCATACATGACTGGCAGGATGTAGGGGCTTAGGATGGGGAGGCTGTAAGTCTGGCACCAAACTGCCTGGACCATTTCCTTTCTGCTGTGTGGAGAGAAACAGGAATGGCCGGGACTGGGGGTCTCCTGTAGCTCCCACACCCAGAAGCGATGGGAACCCTGATCTGGTATAACCCACTCTTTCAAAAACGCCACGCAGAGTTCCAAGCGCTGGCACCCGCTCCTGACTGTCCGTGGCCTCATGTCTTCCTTGGCACAGCCTGACTAGTGAGGCAGGGCTTTGGAATCATCTCTCCTGTGGTGAGGCCCAGAGCTTCAAATACTCACTACAGCTGGGGGGGACACCAGCAAAGCAGTTCCGGAGCTCCAGCCTCCTGGACCCAGGCGCTGTGGCTGGTGTGCATGGACCCCTCAGAATGTTCCCACGTGTGCTCAGTAAGGCACCCAGGAGGTGAGCGCCCCAGCAGTACTGGACACTAGACTTCAGGTCCAGCCAAGCCAGAAGCCCCAGGGTCTCATAGTCACTGTATGACACACACACACACACACACACACACACACACACACACACACACACTATAGAATGTTTGCTGAGCACACCCCTGTGTGACCTTAAGCCGGGAGCTACACATAACACCGGATTTTTTTTTACTTTAGGTAACAAAAATCTTGGTTCCCAGATAGTGAAGAGTAAGAGGGACGAAATATGCCAAAAAGGCAGTTAAGCAGCCCCGGAGCCATAGATAAGGCAATAGAATTTGGTTTTTCATGTACTCTTTCGCAGTGCTAAGGACAGAACCCAGGGCCTGCAGGCTGCTAGGCAAGTGCTCCAAACCACTGAGCAGTGCCTTCAGCTCTACTAGTTAATGTTTATTGAGCACTTAATATGTCACAGGGGCTCTTCTAAGTGTGTTTAGTCTTAGTCAAGCTACCATGAGAGCAAGATGAATGTGGAAACTGAGGCACAGTGGCTAAGTAAGTAGCAGGCAGCCAGTCCCAGCGGCTCCCATAAGCCACCTCTACGAGAAGTAATGATCATTCCTATTCTTAATTTAATCTTAAATGGCTTGGACACTGTCTGAAGCACTTTCCAGCCACTCTCTCATTCATTTCTCAGGGAGAGACTCGGTTTTCTCCTGGTGTATACGGAGAAGCAGGCAGCAGGTTCCAAAGTCACCCAGCAAAGTCGGTGGCAGACGCAGGGGGATGATCCAAATGGGATCTCCCTCAGTCTGCTCCAACTGCCAAGCCCCCTGGACGCCATCTTCGGCCCCCACCCTTCAGTGATAGGGTCCCAAGGCAGTGTTCTCCGTCTACCCCCAACCCCCACCATCAGATGGGAGGGGCAGGAACTCTGGGGCTGGTGGAGTTTCCGACCAGGCAGGAAAGAGAACAAAGGAAATGGAAGGGGGGGGGGGTCTGGCGGGGGTGGCCAGGAGGGTGGCAGGAGCAGAGGAGCCGGTCCACCATGGAATATGAAGCCAAGAAAGGGAAGAAGGTAGGTGGGAGTGTGCGAGGGACAGGGCTGAGAACTGTCCCTGAAGCTGGGGTAGAGAGAGGAGCCGGCACGGAGGTAACAAATGTCACAAGTCGGGCCCGCCTTCTCCTTTGGAAGGATCTGCCTTTCTGTCCCGGGCAGCCAGACATCTGGACGCGGCTCTAAGTTCCACTCTTAGTGGCCTCTGCCATATTATCCCGAGAGACAGACGGGGTCTTCCTGGGAAACCTGCTTCCTGAACCTTCCGGTGGTAGCTTCCTACAGCTTCTCAGAGAGACGGACAGACAGACACCCAGCAGACACATTCCCTGCTCACCCAGATAGGAAGGCTCAGCCAAGGTGATTATAGGCTGGCAAATTGCCCAGCCAGGCTGGGGCCTCCCACCTGCTCCCTGGATGTCTCCCAAGCTACACCTGGCCTCCCCAGCTTTGTGCAAGAACTCACTCCTCAGCCCAAACCATCCCAAGTCTCCTCCCCATCTTCCTTTTTCTGAATTTGAGTGGTTTTCCTATTCGTTACAATTCCACTTCCCACTCCATCCCCATCCACCTAGAATCCTCTTCACCCAAGAAACCTGGTTCAGAATGTTTTATAAGGCACTCACATGAGGCAGTATGGTGGCACAGGCCTGTAATCCCAGATATCTGGAGACTGAAGCAGAAGGCTTACAAGTTTAAGGTCAGTCTGGGTAAGTTAGTGAGAACCTGTCTCAAAATTGTGAAAGTGGGCTGGGAGAGTCCCTCCATGGCCAAGTGCTTGCCTAGCACACATAAGGCCCCAGGTTTGATACCCCAAACTGCAAATTGATATAAGAATTGTAAGTGTGAAGAGGGCCAAGGGTGCAGTTCAGAAGTATTTGTGTGAGACTCCAGATAAAAATCTCCAATACTGACACAGTGTGCCCGATATGAATCTGGGGCCAACATGTGCACATGTCCTTTCTTGGGTCTATGCATTGATTTATGAGACAGGGTAACCCAGGCTGATCCTGAACTCACTATGTAGCCCAGGCTGGCCTCAATCTCACAGCAACTCTTCTGCTTCAGCCTCCTGAGTGCTAGAACTCACCCAGTAAGGCCCATTCTTTTGATAGACACTTAGCGAGCACCTGTTATGTGCTATGAACTGTGCCTTGTGCTAGAGAGGACTGCTGTGGAACAATCCTTTCCTACACTATGACTATGTTTTACTCTCATTGGTTACTAAAAAGCTGACAGGCCGGTAGCTGGGCAGGAAGTTAGGTGGGAAAGCCAAAATAAGAATGATGGGAAGGAAGAGGGTTGAATCAGGAAGATGCCAGCCAGCCAGCCACTCAGGAAGCAAGACATGCTAGAGGACAGGTAAAATCACAGGCAATACATAGATTAATAGAAATGGGTTAATTTAAGTTGAAAGAGCTAATTAGTAATAAGCCTGAGCTATTGGCCAAGCATTTATAATTAATATAAGCCTCTGTGTGGTAATTTGGAAAGCAGCTGCTGGATATTGGGGAACAGGCAGTCAGGACAAGAAAATCTGACTGTAGATGACAGTGATGAGCAATGTCAAATAAGGTCCCCCACTTCTTCCTGGGAGCTCACAGTCTAATGAGGTAAACAATTACTAGCTTTTTTAAAAACAACAAATGGAATTGATGTAAATGTTGCACAAAGCCGCTGTGCTCAGTGCTGGAAGATGGAGCATTAGGGTATCGAGTCTTAGATTGCTGAGTTGGGCATATGAGCTGATGGGTTCAAGGAAAACAAGCAGGGGCTAAGAAATAGCATGTTCCTTCCATGGCAGGAATTAGAAAAGCTGAGCAGCTGAGAGATGGGAGCAAGCAATACTGTACACAGTGGGGGTAAAGGGTGGGCTGAGGCTGGATCCCTGGGAGCAAAGAGAGACAGACAGACAGACAGACAGACAGACAGACAGACAGACACACACACACACACACACACACACACACTACTCATGGGTACAGGAAAACATCCTAGCTCTAGCTAGCACTAAAGGCTCTCAGGACTTGTCTCTTATAATCCAGCCATGATAAATGGACTGTGCTCAATGACCTCAGATTCCTCTCCCTCTGCTTTTGAAGTCTCTTGGGGATCTTGTTCATCTCTGTCCTCTGCTTGGAGGGCTTCTCCCAGGTTTCTAGGAGAAATCTGTTGCAGACTCCATGATGGTCCCTCAGAAACTTGAGTGGTCGTATGTCAGAATCACTCAGAGACCATGGGGCCTCATCTCCAGGCTCTGATGTACAGGTCAAAGACTGTACTTCTAGTTAGCTTCTGGGTTGTGAAACCACACTGGAGAATCACTAGCCTAGATTCTCGAGATGCAACATGAGAGCTGGGAGATGTTCAGTTGGTAAAGTGCTTGCTGCACAACCATGAGGACCTGAATCCACATTTTTAAAAAAAGCCAATGTAGTGGCATAGTAACTGTGAGACGAACTGCAAGAGCTAGAGACTGGGTGAGTTAACTAATAGTTTTAATAATAATCCCAGTGCTGGGGAGAGGGAGACAGCAGCTCACTGCAGCTCACTGGCCAACCAGCCTGGCCTGCTTGGCAGACAGCTCCCTGCAAAACCTGAGGTTGTCCTGTGATCTCCACAGTTGTGAATGTGACATGTAAACACACACACACACACACACACACACACACACACACACACACACACGACCACAAACACGTATGCACATGCACATGCACACAGCATCAATACCCCCTCTGGCTTATTAGAAATGCAGTCTCAGGTCCCACTTCAGACCCACTGAATCAGAATTCTCAAGCACAGTCAAATCTGATATGTACTAGTTTAGGTCACTTGTCATGACCCTGGAGGCAAGACTGGGGTCTAGCGTTTCCCAAATCCCAGCACCTGGCACCCGGCACAGGTTGCAGGCAGATAGGCATGAATAAATATTTGTTAAATGAACATGTAGACTTGAGTGCACGCTCTTAGGCGACAGTTTCTTCTGTTTGTACTTGTCTTGTGGCAGAGCTAAGCAGCATACAACACATGCTACCAGAATTTGTGGTTTGCTTTGCTGGGGCATATGTAGTCCCAGCACCCAGAGCTTTAGGAACTGCTCTAGAATGCCACCAGGGAGGAAGCCCCCAGGGCTTCAGATTCAGTAGGTCTAGGATGGGACCCAGGAAGCAGCATTTCCCAGATTCCCAGGTTTTACTGCTGCTGGTCCAGGAGAGCTCATCTAGATTGGCAGCTCTAGAGCAAAGCTTACACATTCTCTGAGCCTTAGGTGCTGCTGGGTTGGGCTGTGCCCTGGAATCTGCACCTGTGGCCTTGATCCATCCACAGGCAATAACTTAACAAATGCCTAGGCATCCTCCACTTAGCCCCAGCCTTGGCCACTCTTTGAATCTGACTGGCAGGAACATCACCCTCCCCGGGAGGTCTGGGAACTGGGATGTCCCACCTGGACTGTCACCAGCCTGGGTTCTAGCTCTCCATCTGGGGCTTCACTGCTCCAGCTGTGAAAGGGGAGCCTCCTGCTGTTTGGGGATTAATTTAGGTTGTGGAAGTAGACCTGAGCTCCTGAGCACTCAGTAAAGCCGGTGCTGTTGTTACTGGGACTCTCCTGTCTCCCCCAGGGCTTTGTGTCTCCCATCCGAAGGCTGGTGTTCCCGAAGGCTGCACGCCAGGCTGCCTTCAGGAACCACGTCAGTCGCAGGCCCCTGCACTCTATGCCTCTGTATCCTCCTGACTACCTCATCGACCCCCACATCCTGCTGTGTGACTACCTGGAGAAGGAGGTCAAGGTGAGCATGAGAAGGGGTGGGGGGCATCGGAGGCACGCCAACCCTTGACACACGCTGTGCCATATGAAGGAAGCTGTGGCTCTGGTGGAACAGCCTCCTACCTCACAGCCACAGGCTGCACATCCTCAGCAGGCGACACCTCCCACTGAGCCCCCCAAATTCCTGTCCCAACATGGGGCTCAGAACCTACCTCCACAGGAGACTGGGTGGGAAGCCGTGCTGTGTTCCCAAAAGTTCAGCCTCCTCGTGAGATTTTTGTCTGCAAGTCTCCATTATTCAGTGTCCACGTTAAAGGCAAGGAAGAGGCTGGGTGTGTGACTTGGTGGTAGAGCACTCACCTATCATTCTGGAGACCCCAGGCTGCATGTCCGGTGAAGGAGGCGGGGCTGGAGGTGGAAGCATTGGGAGAAGCCGCAATGGAGGGCTCTCTTACACTCCAAAGCTTGACTGTATTTTAGAGGCACTGTGAAGGAGCACTGGGGAGGGAAACCGGTCCTCATCAGCCATAGATGGGTGTGAGGCAGGATTAGCGCATTTAACAAACAGGCTACCTAATCAAATTTAAATTTCAGATGAGCAGTGATTATTCCTTTAGCATAGATATGCTCCAAATATTAAATGGAACTAAAAGTACAAAAAAAAAAAAAAACCTAAAAACAAAATTGTTGTTTAACTGGCATCTTGTATTTTATCTGGCAACCTTATAAATAGAGAAAAGCCAGAAAATGAATATGTTTAAAAACCAAGAGCTGAAAATTTACAGAATAAAAAGGAAAGATGTGAGTGGTGAGATTCACCCAGAAGACTGCAATTAAAGTAATAAAAAAGTTAATTCTTACACTGAATAATAACATTAAAATGATAATGTTGCTATAACTAAGAATGGATGGGGAACTCACATGTTGACCGAGAGCATCATTTTTTTCCCTTTTCTTTCATGTAACACATCCTGATCACAATCTCCCCTCCTTCCAATCCTCCCAGTTCCCCACCACCATCTCACCACCCCACCCCACTCCCCTCTCCCTCAGATCCACTGCTCCTGTTTGGCTTCAGAAAAGAGCAGGCCTCTCAGGGTATCAACCAAACATGGCATAACAAGATGCAGTAAGGCTAGACATAAACCCTCATAGCAAGGCTGGACAAGGCTACACAGGAGGAGGAAAAGGGTCCCAAGAGCAAGCAGAAGAGTCAGAGACACCCCCATTCCCACTGTTAGGAGTCCCCCAAAAACCCAATCTAAACAACCTCAGCATGTATGCAGAGAGCCTGGAGCAGACTCCCTGATCGCTGCTTCCGTCTCTGAGCCCCTAAGAGCCCTGCTTAGCTGATTCTGTGAGCCGTGTTCTCATGGTGTCCTTGACCCCTCTGGCTCCTACAGTCCATCCTCTCCCTCTTCCAATGGGGCTCCCCGAGCTCTGTCTAAAGTTTGATTGTGGGTCTCTGCTTCTGTTCCCATCAGAGAAAGCCTCTCTGATGACGATCGGGCTAGACACTGATCTATGAATATAGCAGAATAGTGTTAGGACTCAATGATATATATATATTTGGTCAGTCTTATTCAGTTCTATCCTAGGTCTCTGAGCCATCCAGCTTCAGGTTCCTGACCATCCAGGCAGTGTTGGGCATAGGTTCCCTCTTGTGGTGTGGGTCTCAAGTTAGAGCAGTCATTGGTTGGCAACTCCCACAATAAAGATTTTTATTACTTTTATTGTCTGTTTGATTGAGACAGGGCTTCACTTTGTAGCCCTGGCTGTCCTAGAACTCACTCTGTAGACCAGGCTGGCCTCAGACTCAGAGATCTGCCTGCCTCTGCCTCCTGAGTGCTGTGACACCACCACCTGGCAAGAGAACATCATTAAAAAAAAAAGAAAAAAAAGAAAGAAAGGATATATTAATTCCATGTTTCTTTCCTTTTGATCTGCAATGAGGTTGTTAAAAGGATAACGCATGGGGTAGGGAGAACCCCTGGGCAAGAAAATTCCAGGGGTTCTTCAAGACGTAATAGCAGAGCCTGGGGTAAGTGTGGAGAGGACAATGGCTCAGTGGCTAAAGTGCTTGCTGGCAAATTTGAGGACCAGAGTGCCAATCCCCAAACCCCTATAAAGCCCAGCACACACAGAGCATGCACCGGTGGTCCTAAAAAGCTCACACAGTCGAGATGGGAGGTGGAAAGAGAATCCACAGAAGCTCAGGAGCCAGCTCATTTGGCATGTGAAGGATAACACACACACACACACACACACACACACACACACACACACACACACACCGCCTCCGGCAATGTGGAAGGCAAGAGCTTATCCCCTGACTTCCACACAGGTGCTATGGCATATGCCTGCACTCACTCACGGCAACATGCATACACATAAACACGGAAAATAGTAGAGTCTGGCCCAGCATGCAAAGGAGCTCCAAACCTGATCTTTAGTATGGCAGTGGGCTGAGGGGCACTAGATTACTTTGCTTCCTGCACGACCTTATAGAGTGAGATGGCCAGGGGTTAGTGTATGTCAGCTAGCTGTTGGAAATGTGGGCTCTGGCTCATGTAATCCATACCCCACAGTGTCCAATGTCACCCAGGGAGGTCTTGAACTTGCTGTGTACCCAACGATGAACTTGGACCCTTAAACTTCCTGCTTCCACCTCCGAAGTGCTGGATTACAACATGCTCCACTACAACCTGGCCAGCCTTACCCTTTCTAGCTATAGTCCAGGGCCAGACTTTTAGTTGGCTTTTAACCCTTAAAGCAAAGATGAATGGATGGGAAAAATATACATATGTGTGTGTAGATACATAAACTCAGAACTGGTCCTGGCTATCAGGTTCTATTAGTCAAAGTTCTTTAGAGGGAAAGGAGAAAGAGGAGAGAGGAGAGAGGAGAGAGGAGAGAGGAGAGAGAGAGAGAGAGAGAGAGAGAGAGAGAGAGAGAGAGAGAGAGAAGAGAGA